ATCCATCCATCCATCCATCCATCCATCCTTTCATCCATTTATCCATCCTTTCATCCATATATCATCCATCATCTATCCATCCATCCACCCTTTCATCATCCATCCATCTATCATCCATCCATCCACCCTTTCATTCATTTATCTATCCATCCATCTATCATCCATCCATCCACCCTTTCATTCATTTATCTATCCATCCATCTATCATCCATCATCTATCCATCCATCCATCCATCTATCCATCCATCCATCCATCTATCATCTATCCATCCATCCACCCTTTCTTCCATCCGTCCATTCATCCATCATCTTCAGCTTGTTCTGAAGTCAGGTCTCGGGGGCAGCAGCTTGAGCAGGGAGGTCCAGACATCTCTTTCCACAGCCACCCCTTCCATCTGTTCTGGAAGGACTCAAATGCGTTCCCAGGCCAACTGAGAGACGTACGGTAGTCTCTCCAATGTGTCCTGGGTCTTTCCCGGGGTCTCCTCCCATTCAGACATGCCTGAAGCACCTCCCTTGGGAGGCACCCAAGAAGCATCTGTATCAGATGCCTAAACCACCTCAACTGGTTCCTTTCAATGTGGAGGAGCAGCGGTTCTACTCCGAGTTTCTCCCAGATGACTGAACTTCTCACCCTATCTCTGAGGGAGAGTCCAGCTACCCTGCAGAGGAAACTCATTTTAACCCGTGTCCACAATCTCGTTCTTTCGGTCACTACCCAGAGTTCATGACCAGAGGTGAGGGTAGGAATGTAGACCGACTGGTAAACAGAGAGCTTTGTCTTACAGCTCAGCTCTCTCTTCACCACAACGGACCGGCACAGAATCCACAATACTGCAGATACTGCACCAATCCGTCTGTTAATTTCACGCTCCATTCTTCCCTCATACTTGAACTCCTCCACTTGAGGCAGAACCTCACCCTTGACCTAAAGAGAACAATCCACCCTTTTCTGACTGAGGACCACCTTAACAAGGTCATGGTCAAGATCAAGGCTGTTTATTGTCATTCACATCACATGTGGTATATGAGGTGGAACGAAATTGTGTACACAGGGTCCCATTACTTATTCATTAAAAAAAAAAAAACTTTTAAAGTTCTCTCTTACTGTACAGAACGCTCAGTGTTGTCCTCAAAGTCGTTTCACAGAGCGACTTCAGTTGAGCCGGTGTAAATTTAGATTTAGTTGGTCGTTAAAGAAGGATGTTCAGTCCCGGCTGATGAGAGGTGAGAGAGAACAGTTTGTCCCGTAATGGCTCCTAAATAAATTTAGACTTTCTGCTTGGCCAGGAATCAGCGGGGGAGTCATTTTACATGATGTTCAGAGCCATAAAACACCAGGTGGACAAGGGACCTGTGGACGCTGTGACAGGAAAAGCCAAGTACACCCTCAATGACAATCGGCTGCTCCGGGAGGACGTGGAGTATCGCACGCTGGTGAGAACACGCAGGAGTTATCCATGTGACTCATCGTGTTTGTTGAAGAAGTCTACGTTTCTCACTGAAATAAAGGATAAGATGATTGAAGCTGGTTTCTGTAGTGTACCACTTTTTATGTTACCTTCACAAGTCATTCTTTCCCCAAAACAAGAAATAACAAATGTGCTGACACTGATAAAAAGACCTGAGGTGGAACTGGAAGTAGCAGAAATGAAGATGTTGAGGTTCTCCTTAAGAGCAACAAGGATGGAGAAGATTAGGAATGAGATCATCAGAGGTACAGCACAGGTTGAACAACTGGGAGATAAAGTTAGAGAGGCCAGACTGAGATGGTTTGGACATGTCCAGAGGAGGGACAGTGGTTTGGACATGTCCGGAGGAGGGACAGTGGGTATATTGGTAGAAGGATGTTAGAAATGCAGCTGCCAGGAAAAAGACAGGAGATTTATGGACGCAGTTAGAGAGGACATGGAGGTGGTTGGAGTGAGGACAGAGTGAGATGGAGGAGGACGACTCGCTGTGGAGACCCTCAAGAGGGAACAGCTGAAAGAAGATTATTCTTTTGAAATATAATACAAGTATTTTCTTAAGTATGGGTCAAATGAGAACCAATCAGTGGCGAAGTACTACTTTGTATGAGGCAGTAATTTACTGAATAAAATAGTTTTGCATGTGTAAAGTCAGTTTCTGTGAACTCCACAGAGGGATGTCTTGAAACGCATCCATGAGGTGCTGGAGGTGGAGATGACTCTCAGCTACTACCACTTCAAATGCTCAATATCTGTGAAATTAGCTGAGTTATGGTCATTTTTGTGTTTGCTAATATCGCCTCGTTTTGATGCCATCTTGAGTTAGATTGACTCCGCCCCTGCTGACAGCTGTTGTCCTCTACTGTAACATCCTTCTTGTTTCTCGTTCAGACTCTAAATGTTGTGACGCCGGCTGCAGCCCCCACTGGAAGCACCACTAACCAGACGGTACCAGCGAAGGTTCTGGACTGTGACACCATCACGCAGGTGAAGGAGAAAGTTCTGGAGCAAACCTGGAAAGGAACGTCGTTTTCGCAGAGGCCGCACATCGACTCCTTACATCTCGGTAAGTGCAGTTTAGTTTAAACGTCACGCTTTCCCCCAGCTGCTAAATTTCAATCAACGGTTGATCAAATGATCCTCAATTTGTTGGTAAATGGAAAATGGACTGTACTTATATATATTTTTACAACACAATATGTGCCCTCATTTACCCATTCGTGCACCACTCTACTAGATCTATACAAATAATAATCAGAGCTTTATCACATTCATACAATGATGGGACACACATCGGAGGCAATGAGGGGTTCAGTGTCTTGCCCAGGGACACTATGTGACTGCTGGTGGAATCAAACCCCCAACTCTCGCATTGGAAGACGACTGCTCTAACCACTCAGCCACAGCCACTCAGTTCTCACTGCTAACACAACCACACTGCTAAAAGTACCATGCTACAAACAGGACAATGTTGCTAAGAGAACCTCTTTGCTAACAGAACCACTCTGCTAACAGGACCATGTTGCTAACAGGACAATGTTGCTAAGAGAACCTCTTTGCTAACAGAACCACTCTGCTAATAGGACCATGCTGCTAACAGGACCACGTTGCCAATAGAACCACACTGCAAACAATATGCTACTAACAGGACCATGTTTCTAAGAGAACCTCACTGCTAACAGAACCATGCTGCTAACAGGACAATGTTGCTAAGAGAACCTCATAGCTA